AATATAAATGCAGGACTAGATTGGCAGTTAGGTCTCATCATCTTACAGTTGTAATTGCTAGATGTAACCAGAAGTTCTATGTTAATAGTTATTTCTCCTTCACTTCTTGCTTGTGGAACTCTCTTCCGGTTTCTTGCTTTCATAGTTAACTTTGATCATCGAAAATTTAAATGCAGTGTCAATTTTTATCTTCCGTCTTCTTAATTTCTGTTCTTTTATCATTCTCTCTCCTTAATAATGATTTTTCTCATGGACTTTCATACTCAATAACCATCTTAATGGCTTTGTTGCCTTACTGGGAGGATTATTAAAAACAAAGAGAAATCCCATTTTCAGAGTTCTTAGAAATTTTTATTCAACATCCTTATTTTAGAAATATGCAACAAGAGAGAGCATCATGCTGGTGATCACAAGGTCAGGTCTTTACTGTATTTTAATCCAGTGTATTTCAGTTTGTGTGGCAAATAGGCTGAGTTAAACAACACATACGCAAAATATAGATTAGGTTGAATCATAAGTAATTCCCGCCTTTTTCTTTATCAACTTTTTTCTTCAAAAGAATAAACTACAATTACATTTTATTCATTTATATATTCACCATTATTTGCAATGACACGTTGTCACTTATCAGGCAGCTATTTGATACCTTTTGAGAAAGTTCCACAGGTTTCTATATGATAAAGCTTTCAACAAATTCTTCAATCTGGTTTTCATTTTAGAAAGTTTTTTTTCTATCAAAGCATTTTGCAACAATCAAAAAAAAGGTAATAATTGGTTGGTACAAGGCCAAATGAATTTGGTTAGATCAGACCAATCAAATCTCCAAAATTTGGTGGGTGGGGGTAGATCAGATCAATCAAATCTTCAAAATTTTTCCTGTGTCATTCTTGCTATATGCAGTCTTGCCTTGTTATGAAGGAGAACAACCTTTTTTCTTTATTACACTATGAACACCATCACCATTGTGTGACACTATGAGTTGGATATATGCGCACGCGTGTGTGTGTGCCCGCACATCTGTGTGTGTGTGTATATATACTCCCACACATCTGTGTGTGCGTGCGCGCGCACACATATGTGCGAGAAGATTAGTTAGATTTGACCTGGGTATCAAACTTCAAGACCCAATGACTAGATTAGGAATCTAGATAAAAATATGTTTTGGACATATGGCCAAAAGGGTAGATAAGTGTTAAGTACTTGTCAAAATATGAAGATAGTTAAAAGACCGGCTCTGGTCAAAACTTAAAAGGGTCTGAATTTAATGTCCCTGAATCGGAGTCAGCTAGGCTAAGAAATATTTTTATGTCCACTTTCTTCAAAGGGAGAAATGGTCATGAAAAAGTTATGGGTTTATTCGTGGGTGTCCCTTGCCCGGAAATGATGAAAGAGGACTCTGCATATATACGGGAGCACTTTGGGTTTCACCAGAGAGAGACTTAGTTTAGGTTCGAGGAAGATTGATTCAGGCCGGATCAAGTAACAACGAAGAGCAACACATTAGCAGCCGGACATTGTTAGTTAAGATATATTTTTTTTGCCAGCCGAGAATCAGCCCAGAGTTAATTATCACAAAAGGTCACACGCCCTCCCTCCTCTTTTCGTCCTACCCAAGTTTGTAGTTGTGTTTTTCTTTTGCCTGTGAGCCTGCTTCTGCGCTCGATAGTGGAAGACAGAAATTCTACGACGTGGGGTCTATATCTTTTGTGCAACGAAGTTGCAGAGGTGGCATAATTTCACAATTGTGCAAAAACTAAGGTATCTCTAGTATACACCAAATTTATTCTTAACTGCCATATATGATTAGTAGTCAGGATGATAAATTTGTCATTACAACTGGTTCTGAAAAACAGAAATTAAGTATGCTAATATTAGCTGTTTCCTTATAAGGAAACTTTCAGCATTCATTGACCGAGTAGTTAGCGTTACTTATGATTGAAATCTATAAAATCTTTTTCTCAATTACATTTTATTCACTTATTAGCAGCCATGCCCAGCTGTTCAAACAGAAAACGTGTTCAATTAGAATGGAGCAAAAGCATCTTCTTCAATTACTTTAAAGCACTTTCATTAAAAAGCATTTTGAATTAATGCAGTTACTGATATAACAGAAGTAGCCGGTATTTATTCAATCGAAGTTAGCTGAGGACATGAAGGGGTAAAACAGGCAACATGAAGACTCACATTAAACCACAATTATTTTGGAGTTTTTGAAATTCAATTTGTCAGTGTGCTACCAGGGATGTAAAAGAGGATACATTTATAAAGCAATTGTTAATTTCATGAAAACTGGTTGAAAGATCATTGAAAAATAAGAAAGAAACCAGTAAAAATTGCCATTTTTTGCAATTTATGTGGATTTTCACTATATGGGTTGACTCAATTATCAAGTTAAATGTTTGTTAAAGAATCAACGTATTGTTGGCTACAATTGAGTGAAGTTTGTATTAGATTGCTTGAAAATTGAGGGTGTTTTTAGTTTAAAATTTGTGTTGAAATCAAAGGAAAAAAGTTGAATTTATCAATATTTGATCAGCTTTATTGATTATTGATTTTTTAAAAATTATCAATTTTTTTATGCTAAGAACCTATCTCTTAAATAT